AAAAGGGGGTCTGAGACTATTAAATTGTTCTGTGTTATTAACAAAACAAAATTGGTTACACGAATAGTTTTGATATGTAAAAGTAAATATTTCAAGTCTTGTATCTCATTATTGTACTAGGTAAACATGTTCTAAATTTTTCACCAACTATAATCCTTATGATATAGATATACATTATGCAAAAAACTCAATTTTGGCCAGGAGTTCTCAGACCCCCATATTGCTGGTGGAAATCTCATGTATGCGAGGAACACGAGAATGATTGTAATGTTTTAGATAAAGTAGTATACTTCAACGCCCGTCAACTTCCGATAATCATATGGAATTTTTCTAAATTGTCTGGAACGGTTTTCCATCCTGTCCTCAACAGTCATGCTGCCTTTTTTTATCTTTATTATTCTTTAATATTAGTAACTGTTATAAAAGGTAATATGATGCCAATCATTTGTTATGATAGAGAATCTTAATAAATACCTAGAGACCCATCCCACGTTTAAGATATTTAGGCATCAATGCAAAAAAAAGTACCTCTGCTTGTTAATAAATAACTCTTCTTCATCTTTAGAACCATAACATATCAAATAAGAGCAATTTTGCCAATGAAGGCCTGGCTTCTAAAAAATAAATTGTTTTTCCAAAAAAATAATAATGAATAGGAAGCTTCTTTGTACAACACTATGTGTACGCGTTTTGTCGATCAATTTTTTATTTTTTAAAAAAAAAACAATGCCAACACAAAAAGGCACAAGAATAAAAGCAACATATGTAGAAGAATGAGTTTATGAGTAAACATAATTATAATGAGATTATCAAAAAAAAATGGCGGTGGTGATTACTAATCACTTTAGTTATTATAAAAATAAATTCGCAAAGTCAACAAGAAGAAACCAATCCACAACTCGCGAAGAAATTAGCATTATCAAGACGACAAGAGAAATTCAAAGAGCTTTTATTATAATTTTGTTTATCTATTTCTTAGGCAAGCTAATATGATCAATAATGTAAGTAGTAGTAACAAAGGATGTGTGCTTTAATTACAAAGTAAATTTTATTCTATTCTAAAAAAAGTCAATTGTTAAAATTTTATATTTAACAATTATTAATAAAGATGTGAAAAAAATTCTAATTTCAGAATTGAACGCTTTTTACTAATATAAATATTATTGAAAATTATTATTAATCTTTCATATTTTTTTTGGAATCTTACTTATTTTATGTGATTCATTCAAAATCGTTAACCTTCTGTTTTTTAAAAAGGGAAATTCTTTACAAGCTGTTTTTATAAAAATATAACTTGCAGTCTGATGCTTGCTGATTGTAAATTAGAATTTTGCTGACTGCAAATGGCAAATGGCAAATGGAGACAGTTCGAAGGAGGGGGCAGTCCTTCTCAGATCATTTCTTAACTGGCTTGTGACTAATACGAAACAGGAAAATGCTTCCACGTTGTACTTACTTCTTCCAATTCATTCTTTTTTAAATGGGTTGTAATTCGTAAGTACATCCATCTTGTAAACATATTTGGTAGCAATGTAAAGGCCTTCTCTAATATACATTTGTTACCCAATAGTTTTGCATATCCCACATGCAACCCTGTATGTCGTTGGAGATTTGAGTAGGGAAGAATATTTTGAGATGCATGTATGAATTTTACTGAACTCATCTTATTTCTACATATTGAAGGTTCACATGATGGTATTCTTTGTTTAAAAGAACTCAGAGGCAAATTTGACCACATTCACAGAATAACAGGTACACACATGCTCAGTATGTCAAAGAACACAAACATTGCAAGCGAAAGCTTGAAGGTATATATATATATATATATATATCATATTTATCTTAACTTTAAAATCTAATGTTTAAAAGAAAATACTTTACAGATTATGACTTTTCAGTTTACAGACTAGAATATAATAGGTTGAAACATGGTCTTTATCCTGAGAACTTGAAATTTTCAGATAAGCCTGAAAAAATTACATTTAATCATAACTATGGAAGCAATAATGAAGGCAGAGGATCAAGGATTCATTTTAGAAGATGATTTAATTGAAGCATTTTGCTCTAAACAAGATGATTCACTTATAGATTATAATTATTTGTACTGTCAACCAACCAGGCAATTTCATTGTCATCGTCACCAACCAGTACTAGATATTATGCAATTAATCTCAAGAATTTTGATGTGCAAATTTTTCTTACTAAATTTTTTATAGAAACTTCAAATGTTGATGTTAATTTTAGAACCTTCTTCAATAATTTACAACAACAAAATAAACATATTAATTCTAATGAGTATGTAACACTTATTCATAGAATGTGATTAGAAAAGAGAATAGAACCATCATTTATCAAAAGTTCTAATAAAATAGCACATATTACTGTTGGAACAATTGACATTAGTACTAACCCTTGAAGCTAATGCAATATGTGAATCAGCCATTCTTGATAAAAATCCTTCCAAGGATGTATATAAAAATATTGGATATTCATTCAGAAATTGGAATTGGTGGAGTTGTAGAAGCACGCAATTAATGAATTACTACAATTATAATTATTATTTTAAAATATATTTTTTTTTAAATTTTTTCATGTGCGAATAGATTATAGTTTAATATTGGCTATGGCATTTTGTTCCAAAAGAAATGTCAATAGGAAGGAACCCGCGAGACATCGAAAGGATTATTCTATTAAATCTGACACTTGAGTTCACTCAATAGCATTTTAAGCTTAGGAACCATAAAATTTGGGAGCCAAATCAATACGATTTATAATAAAAATAACCCACAGAATTTAGGACCCCCGCAAACTACACAGTGAATCTCGATTTAGCGGACACTAATTAAAAAATCTCGGCTTTACGGATAAAGTTCAAAGAACGATTCCATAAACCTCAATAAAACCTTCTCAATATAGCGGATATCTCGGTTTAACGGATTTTTTGGAAAATTTTCCCTAATACTAATACTAATTGCTCAAACTATCCCGTTAAACCGAGACATAGATTGGTTACTGCCGCAGCTGGTGAAAATTACCAAATTTGAAAAGATTGTCTCTAATAAGCCAATCACAGTGTGGGTCAAACCCTATATCAACCGTGATTTTTTGTATGTAAAACCTATCTATATAATTTGCGGGGGTCCTGGTTTATTATTATTTATGCATGATGGAAAATTTGATTTTTGAGGCCTGTATAGATTCTGTGATATCTGCTATAAATGCAGGTTAGTGAGCGATATTACCATTGTCAATATTATTAATGATTGATATTTATTGAATGATGTTTAATGAATTTCTTTCGTAAATTATATAAAAGAAAAAGGTGGCGCGTCTCGTGTTGAATTATGTGATAATTTGATAGAAGGTGGAACTACACCAAGTTTAGGAATGATTAAAGTGACTCTGAAGAAGATTAAAATCCCTGTTATGGTAGGTAGTCATGTAAATTGGGTTTTTTAGATTTTTTAATTATTATTGATGATCGATGAAATATATACTTATTTATGTTAGGTTATGATTCGACCAAGGTATTACTACCCAATTAATCACTTTTGATTATTTCCTGGTTTTTTTTAAATAATAAAACTTTATTTTAATTTATTCTTAGAGGTGGAGATTTTTGTTACAGTGATGAGGAATTTGATGTGATGTGCTTAGATATAGAGTCTATAAAATCACTTGGGGTACATGGAGTTGTTTTTGGTATTTTAAAACCTGATGGAAGAGTTGATATTGAAAGAGTATCAAAGTAATAAAAACATTATTATTACTTTGATTTTTATTTTTATTTTTAAAAAATCAAACGAACAAATATGATTTATAACACATTATTCTTCAGATTAGTTGAAGTTGCAAAACCATTGAAAGGTGATTATTTGCATCTTTGGATTTCTTGTTAATTAATATATATTAATCATTAATTTTTTTCCTTGTAAAGTAACTTTTCATAGAGCATTTGATATGACAAACGATCCATATCAGGCACTTGAAGATATAATTTCAATTGGTAGAATTGAACGAATACTAACCAGGTAGAGACAAAATAATGCTTGTGTCTAAAAATTTATTTGTTCATATATTGTAGACATTCTATTGAAAAACTGATGATAAAAATATATTAGTGGTCATGATAGTTCTGTATTGGAAGGTTTAGAAACAATCAAAAAACTTGTGGATATTGCTAATGACAGAATAATAATCATGCCTGGTGGTGGTAGTTAAATTCATCTAGAATTCAATATTTTTGTTTTAAAAAAAGAAAAAAAGTGAAAAATTTTTTTTACTAAATTAGAGATTGAAAATCCTTTAGGAATCCGTGAGACAAATGTTACCAGAATTTTAAAGGCAGTAAATTTAAAGGAACTTCATGTATCTGCCAGCGTCGATATTCCATCCATCATGAATCACAAAATTCCAAATATTCATATGGGCGGATCTTTTTATAAAGATGAATATTCTGTAAAAGTTCTTAGCGAACAAAAACTTTATTCATTAATAAGAAATGCTGCAGAAAATTAACTTATTCCGGTGTCCAAAGAAAGTTGTATAAATATCTTTTTTGAATTAAAGAATTGTTCATTATTATATTAAATTGTCCATATTAAATATTAAAAATTAAAAATTAAATTAATAATACAAACACTAAAATAAATATTATTATTATTACATTAAATTACTTTTAAAAATGCTCATTATTAAGTTGAAATTGATTAAATTAAATTAATTATTAAAAAAAAAAAATTATTATTAATTAAAAATTATTATTAATTATTAATTAAAAAATTATCCTTTTCAATTTTTAAAGTTATTGTCCATTAGAGAGATTAAATTAGAATTAAAAAATAATAATAAGTATTGGAATTAAAAATGTCTTTAAGGAAAAAAGAGAAAGGATTATTATTATATAAATTAAATTATAATAATTAGAATAATAAAAATAACAATAAAAATAAAAATAAACACCAAAGCTATTTACATATTAAATTTTAAAATTTTACAATTTATGCTGGTGATCCATCACATTTATTGCTTTTTGTTTTATTAATTCCGACCATTTTTATGTACATTCGTAATGCATCAATTATATATTCCGGATCAATTTGAGTAGTTTCTCCAAACTCTTCACGTATACGAGTATGCTTGCTAACATTTTTAAGATATAAAGCTGATATAACGTTCTAAAGTGGTAATAAATAAAATAAAAATTAATTATGTGTTAGTAAGAGATATAAAATATAGAGGCACATTAATCAATAATTTTTAATTTTTTTTTTCAAAAAAGTACCTCAATTCTTGTTATTAAACTTTCCATAATCCTTAACAATTCTTCATCGTCTGCATTATCTTTAACATGAAAAGTTAATAAGCCTGTTAAATAATCTGCACGGGAATTTCTTGCTGAATTATATTGATTGTTTATATTTCCTGATGTAATACGTTCTAAACGTAAACAAAGATATCCAAGTTGTCTCACACATGAAGGTGGGAAAATATTCTATATATTTTTTTTTATAACAAAAATGATTGTAAAAATTAAAAAAAAATTTTTAAAAATAAATAATAGCATACAGTAAAATATAATATATACAAAGTACCTCTTGTGTGATCCTATTTTGTTGACCTTCTTCCATTCGACCTTTAAGTGCTTCCGGAAAAACCTATAAGAGAAATCGTTATTAAACATTGTTTTTTTAAAAGTAAATCTAAATTAAAAAAAAAAAATTTTTAAAATACTAACTAATGATAATACTTCGGTATTTTCCAATCCTTTAAGTTTTTTTTCTCCAATGTTTTTAACAACAAACCCCATTTTTCTTAATGCAATAAGATTTTTATCTAATATAACTGGATTATTTACTATAGTATTAGTAGTAACTGTTGTTAATGGCCCTGAATAATCATCATATTCGCCATTTTTCTTAAACAATGAATCGTGATCATTTGCATCCATCAGACCATCCAACAATCTTATTTCTGCCTCGACATCTGAGCTGACACATATTTGACCACCATCAGCTGCATTGCAAATTCTAGCAGTTCTATTCACCATTGGCCCAAAATAATCCATTCTTTTTGTTACAATATCAGTTTCACATACTGGTACGCCTAAATGTATTCCCATTCTAACTGATAAGCCCCTATGCAGCAACTCATTATATTCGCCACCATAAATTTCCTTACCATCATCTGAATCGATAATTTCTTGGGGCCAGTCAACTTCAAGCAGTTGAAGTTGTACAGTAAAACACCAAAGAAGAGCTGATGATACGGTTGGAAAAGAAACCATGAAAGCATCTCCTTCAGTCTTAACTTCATAACCACCTATATTCCTTAATTGACGACGCATTATGGTATTGTGTTGTTTTATTGCATGTCTCATTGCAACCGGGATTGTTTCCCATAAAAATGTTGAATTTTTAATATCAGTAAAAACCAAAGCAACCTGTCCGGTTGGCGGAGAAATTTCTTTTTGTAATCTTGCCATCATTGAATCACTAGGGACTTCTTCTTTTCTAATACGCTTCTTACTAGTACCAAAGAAAAAGGTTGTTCCTGGTTCTTCTGTGATATATTGTGCTTTTTTAAAATTAGGGTCTCCTGTATTTGTGGATGGTTTTGATCTTCGACAAAACAGGTCTCCCACACCAATAATCATTACCATTAATTTTTTTTCCGAACCATATGCAATAGCAAAATCACGTAATTTCTGTGCGGCCATCATCAAATCTTTTTTTTCAGTTCGTGCAATGTCCACAGCTGTCTGATAACTCATACAATCCCATAATCCCTTTGTTGCCAATATGACAAACTCATCTTGTTCTGATAATTCAATCACATCAATCACTGGATTAGAATTTATAATTGGCATTAAATGAAAATGTCCAAATGATTTAGAAACACTAAATTCACCATTCACCAAAAAATCATGAGATAAAAATCCGCCAGCTTCTCTTATTCTTTGGAATTCATTTGTACTGGTTGGATCTTCACATTTTGCAATAACATGTGCATTACCATCATTACGACTGATGACCGCTGTGGTGTCACCAACATTTGCAACGTATAATTTTGTTCCTGAAATATATGCTATCAAGCCAGAAGCGCCCGATTTATTATTACCAATTTGTAATGATATTGAATGATGATGATTACTCTCGTTTTCTCTGGCATACTCTTTCTCAAAACTTGAATTGAAAACTTTTAAACCAAGTTCTTTATTTAAACCCAAAAAGGTTCTTCTGATTGCTGATTCAACTGTTTCATTGTCTTTGAGTTTCTCAAGCTCAGACTTGAAATGATACGGAAACCAATCGTGTAAATATTTGGTAACAGGACCACCTTGATCCGGACCATTTCTCCCATCAAAAAGGCCAAATAAACATTCGTCATCACGACTACGAAATTTTGGAATTACAGTTTCCCATATTGACAGATGGTGGTCCTTTATTCCTAATATATCAGCCATTCCATACGACATAGAATTAACTTCGGATGATGAAGTTCTAATACGCCTATTATCATTTTCATCAGGTACTGTCAAATTCAATAGTGTAATATCCATCAAACCTAGAACACTGAGTCGGGTTAAAGCACCAAAACCTGCAAGATTTCTATCTCTAAGTGGATTGATCTCTGTGACATGTGCATGTTTGATTTCAAATCTTTTATTACCAGAAAGATTTAAAAATTTAAGCTCCATATTCCAATTCCTGAATTTTTTAGAAACAAAAAATTTGTAACGTCATCATCGTGATGAATAATTTAATTAAATAGATTGGTAAAATATATATATATATATATATATATATACAAAATTTGTTGTATATAGTAACACTTTAATATTGATTATTTTTTCTCATAAGCATATTGAAGAAATATTTTTTTTATTAGAACTTTTGTTTTGGTGTCTATATGATTAAAAAAGTAAGGTAAATAATGTCTCGAATTATTAATCTTACATGTTTGTAATTCATAATTTCATTTATTAATATCATAAATAGATGAGTGAAATAGAAGAGATTCCTGTAATTCAAAAAAAATAAGAAAAGAAAATTGGGTAGGCCAAGAAAATCCATTTGTGCACATTTTATAGAAACAAATAATTTTAATAGTAATAAAAAAGATAACCATCCAGGAGCAACATGTGTTTATTGTGGACAGCAGTGGGCACATGGGAAAAGTTCAGATATGATTGCACATATTGCACTCTCTTGTCCTAAACCCCTCCACCTGATGTTCGTGCAAAATTTCAATCTGTTTTACAAAATAAAGATGTGTCTGATGAGGACAATAATGATAATGATAACAATTTTCAATATAAAAAAGGTCAACCAAAAATTATAGATAAATTTGAAAAATTAAAGATTTCTGATGAGAAACAACAAAAAAGTATACAAGCTTTAACAAATTTTTTGTATGTTGTGGTGTGCCTTTCTGGATTGTTGAGAATCCTTTTTTTATTTATTTTATAAAAAATTTGTGTCCAGGTTTTCAACTCCCAAAAAGGACCACTTTGTCTACTACATTGGTAAATATGGAATGTGGCCATGTAATTTCAAACATTAAACAATTGTTTAGATAATCAAATAAATCTCACATTAGGTTATATAACAATGAAAAATTTTTTTTTGATACAAAACAAAATTTAATTTTTTTTTTAAAAAAAAAGGTGTAGATGGCTGGACCTCTCCATCTGGACAATCATTATACGTTTTTGTGATCATTACATCAGATGGTAAAGAATATGTTCATTCTTTGAAAAAATTTTCTAAAAACATGCATACTGGAGATTTTTTAAGTTCTGAATTGCTACGAGTTCTGAATGAAGTAGGAGTTGACAAATTTTCTGCAATAGTTTCTGATCATGCTGCAAATATTGTATTAGCAAAGAGATTAATTGCCGATAAATATCCTCATATAATTCCAATTTGTTGCATTGCTCATCATATTAATCTTTTAACAAATGATATAATGAAGTTGGCTTGGTCATCAAAAATTATTAAAGATTGTAAGAATGTGGTTACATATTTTAGAAAATCTCATGCTGCTCACAAATATTTGCAAGAAGAAATTGCTAATTTTAATATAACAGGGGGAGGTTTAAAGTAATACATAAAAACCCACTGGACAACAGCTTTTGATTGCACTAATTCTATAGTTAGATGTCAAATGGCAATGAAACATGTAAATATATGTTTTTTTTTTTATTATTTAATATATTGTATTCTTATACAATTAATGTAAAATCTATTCATTTTCATGTTTTTCTAGTTAGTTGAAAATTAATCATATTTATTTAGTAATAAAATTTTGTCCATTCTATGATGTTGTACCTTTTATCATAATATTGAAGATCTTCAAACTATTCTTGAACCGATCAAAAAAGTGGTGGTTACTCTTGAACATAAAAGTACTACATTGGTTGAATGTTTCATTCATCTTATGAAGCTAGGAATAATGATTAAGGAATTTCCATCAGGAAATATACCTTTTAAAGAACAGTGTCAAGAAATATTGGGGGCAATTCAATTTTGAGTTGTATTTGCTTGCTTTTTTTTTACATCCCCAACACCAAGGTATGTATTTATTTTCATGTTTATTTCATCAAGTGATTAAATATAAAATATAATTAAAATTAATTCATATAGATAAGGGCCTACATGCAAATACCTTTCGTATTATATGTGAAAAATCTCTTCAGATTTGGAAAAAATTAGGTGGTGGTAATACTTCAGCAAATGAATTAATAGCACAATTATCTAACTATTCACTAAAAATTAAACCATATGATTTTGAGTTTGTTCCTGGAATTCATACTGTTAACAGCTGGTGGTTAATGTGTAAGCAAAAAAATAACCATATTCAACAGTTAGCTTTAATAATCCATTCAATAACTCCTCACAATACAAGTTGTGAAAGAATTTTTCTGTACTGGGTTGGTACATGAACAAAAGATGAACAAGGTAAATCCATTATAAAGTTAAATTCATTTATCATTTTTATTTAGTATTACATTTAAATTGATAACCTGGTTATTTAAATTAGATTGAATTATTCATTACTTGAGAAATGGCACAAATGCATTCCTATTATGTAGCCAATGCAATAGATGAAATAAAATATGCATATCAAGGATTAACTGATTCAGAACTTGAAACCATGATTCAAAGAAATGTTTCTTTTGATTTAAGTGATGAAGAAGAGAATGTTGATTTTAATGAAAGTGATAAAAATGAAAATGAAAGTGAAAATGAGAGTGAGAATGAAAATGTAAATGAAAATGAGGATGAAGATGAAGATGAAGGTTTATATGAAGAAGAGCAGCTTGCAGCAGCTCAAATTAATCAAAATCCATTAATGTTTGATCAATTAATTGATGTAAATGATCAAGAATTTCAACGTGCATTGGAAATTGAAGTTTCTGTTTTAATTCCAGCTACTGAGATTGTTGAACATGGAGATCAAGAATTTGACATACAATCAATTGTAGAAATTGCAATGTTAAGAAGATTAACAGATTGAATTCAACTTTTAGTGATATTAGTTAAAATTTTATTTTTTTTTGTTTAATTATGGTAAAAATAAAAAATAAATAAATATTAATTTTGCATTTTTTAAATAATAATAAACCGAATTTATTTCTTTGATTAAATGTTACGCAGGTTCACCCCTGGATTTGTTGCCTCGGTAGTTTATCGGGAAATTTTCGAAAGTTAATGGGGATCCACAAATAATTTGGGATGTCATAAATAATTTGGGATGCTATAAATAGTTTGGAATGTCATAAATAATTTGGGATGCTATAAATAATTTGGGATGCACAAAATTTCAAATCCTCCACCCAAAATTTAATTTGTGCATTTGGGATGCTATAATCCCAAATAATTTGGGATTTGGGCAACATCTTTACTTGTGTATAAAGTTTTATATGTAAAGTTTGATTTTTTACTATGAAATGCGCATCATTTTTAATTTTTAAGGCGTG